GCTTAGATTACCGCACTTACTCTTCTCCATCGCACTGCGCTTCGCACGTTTCTTTCTGTTGGCAATTTTGTTGTGTGTAACTGTTCTTTTCCGGGTGCAAACTCTCTCCTCTCGGATTTCGAGGCCTTGACTTCTCGATTTGTGAATTATTCGCGATTCCCAGACGGGTGTGTGGCACCACTGATAAGTTATCAAGCTGTGATCGACCGCCTCTGCTATGTTTTGTTATTTTTCGTCTGGTTTTTTATTCGTATTTCACGCGTAATTCGGACCACTCGGCCAGTGAGACCGTTTCTTTAAAAATACTAGAAAAATTCAGGCCAGGTAACCAACAGCTGTCTGGCGGGTGTTTACCAACCCTGGTCTTCTAGGGCTGCATTCGCTGCGCAGATTTTTCGGCGCGTGCATTTTATAAACAACAATTTCTCGGCAATTCACAAGGATTTTACAGGATGTTTGACGTGGAACCCATAATTGCCGACCACAAGGATGTGATACACGATGTGGTCTTTGATTACTACGGCCGACGGATGGCCACTTGCTCCAGCGATCAGACAGTGAAGGTATATATTAGAGTTTTCTGCTGCGATAAACAACAACCTTTGTGATCCGGAATTTCGGCTTTCAGATCTGGGACGAGGACGGGCAGGGCAAGTGGAGCGTCACCAGCAGCTGGAAGGCGCATTCCGGATCCATTTGGCGCGTATCCTGGGCGCATCCGGAATTCGGCCAGGTTGTGGCAACTTGCTCGTTCGATCGCACCGCATCCGTTTGGGAGGAGGTGATTGGTGAGAAGGTTTCCGCCACCAATGCACCCACACGTCGCTGGGTTCGTCGCACTACCTTGGTCGATTCCCGGACCAGCGTCACTGATGTTGAGTTTGCGCCAAAATACCTGGGACTCCTGCTTGCCACCGCCTCCGCCGACGGCATAATCCGCATCTACGAGGCTCCCGACATTATGAACCTCTCGCAGTGGCCCGTGCAGCACGAGATCGCTAACAAGCTACCGCTGAGCTGTCTCTCCTGGAACACTTCCACCTACATGGTCACCCAGCTGCTGGCGGTAAGCAAACTAATTCTAAAATCCCCATATCGATATAACTTATGGCCAAACAAAAGGATAATCTTTTAAATGAAGATCAATTTCTAAGAGAGTGGGCTGTTTCAAGAGGCCCTTTCAAAACAATTTGCTCAACCTTGATTTTCACAAAATTAAAATTGAGATCAGTCGTTTTTAGTTGACTTTTCTGAGACCGAACCAAAAATTTCTATAATCTTCTTAAAACTTAAAACGAATTAAACAAAAAATATATATATCTCGACACTGAAAACTATGAAGTAACAATTTTAAAGTTACATATTAGGAAGCATTGTTTTGTGAGTAGAAGATTTAATTAATATTTGTAGAGATCAAACTAGCTGACCTATTAATCAACTGATTTTATAGGCGGGCAGTGATGAGGCGGCTACGCCTACCGGCAAGGTGTTTTTATTTGCCTACAGCGAGAATGCCCGGAAGTGCGTGAAAATCGAGACTGTTAATGACATAACCGACCCGGTCACGGATGTTGCCTTCGCCCCCAACGCCGGCCGCACCTTCCACATGCTGGCAGTGGCCAGTAAGGATCTCTACATCGTAAACCTGCGAGGAGTGACGTAAGATTGGGAATAAGGATTATGAAGAAACCAAAGTCAATGTATTTACACATTTTAGGGACGCTACCGGCATCTCGAAACTGGACATTCAGACCATAAAATTCAGCGAACACAATTGCCCAGTGTGGCGCGTCTGCTGGAATATGCTGGCCACCATGCTGATCTCCACGGGCGACGACGGTTGCGTGCGTCTGTGGCGAATGAACTACAACAGGCAGTGGCGTTGTGCCGCCGTGCTGAAGGCGGAGGGCAGTGGACCCACCTATGAGCCTGCCCCGCCGACCCCAACGCTGGCCACCACAGCCTCGGCCACGGCCAAGTTCTACAAGAAGGGCACCATCGGGAATCAGGTGCCGTGGCACTGATCTTGTACTTAATCGTAGAGTCCCGAATAAATCCTAAGCTGAAACTCTTTGGTTTTTTTTAATATGGGTAAATACTTTTTAGAATTTCTTCTAGTTATTCCACTTTGGAAAAAATTATAACCGATTATATTGGTTAATGATTTATAAATAAATGTAAAATATAAAATTGATACATAGATTTTCTCGAATTTTTTACTCATTTTTGTAAATTTTGTAATTGTAAATTTTGAGTTTGGTAAAATCAATATATGTATTAAAACGGTAACTCGGATTTACATCTGATTGTTTTTGTATAAATGACTTGTAAAACCCTGGGCTCCAAAAGCATAATTAAATCAAACCTACTTTATCGATGTCAATTTTGGTTACGAAAATACAAAATATGAACCTAACGTAGCAGGCATGAAATACATAATAATTAATCTAACCCATTTCAAGTTAATGACTTCCGAATGTTCTGTTGAAATTGGTGGAAGATAAAACTTGATATAAGATCTATATATAAAATGATTAAAATGTTCTATTCTAAAATACCTATAAAGATTATGTCGTAATGTTTTGATGCCACTTACGCCTCGGAATAAGAGCCGGCATTCTGATAAATCCGACAAGTAGCTTTCTAGTCCACATTTCTATGTCTTTCGTCAATATTCTTTAGATCGCGCTTCCTAGGTCATTTTCACATTACATCACAGAAACATGGGGATCTCTCAGTGCCCCCAAGTTTAGTAGAGAGTAACAAAAAAAAAGTTGGCTATTGCTTAAACTTTTGCCGGCAAACTGAAGCAATTATTGATTTGGAACAACTTCCCCGCAAGGCGAAAAATCAAAACAAAATTTAATTCACATGACAAACAAGAGCGAGCACTATAATAATAATAGTAAGAATTACTCTCTCTTGCGTCACATGTGTGTGTAAATGAGAACGGCAGATCTGATATGCTAGCTATTTTTAAAGACCCACAGCGCAGGCAAAATCAAAAATTCGTTTGTTTGAATTAAATGGGAAAAAGAAGAAAAACGCATTTTCAAGTTCAGTGATTGCATTCAAATCAAATGCTTTTATTAACTTTTATTTATGGGTTATATATGTTCGATTAACCCCTGACATGGGGGAATCATTGGATCATAAAATCCTTCTTAAGTGCATTTCCATTCCATCCACATGTGCATAAATTAAATATTACGTACAACAAGTGATCACAGCAAGGTTTTTATTATGTTTAACACGAAAAACCATTCAGAAATGTCGCGAAATATTCCACTTAATTGACTCGAACCGCAATAAAAATAGGAATCATTTCACTTTCGATGACACCACACAATTATAATGATATGCAACCACCCCACGGCGGGTATTCGGGTACTCCTGATCCTGTTGCTCTGCTGGTAATCCAAGGAATGAAATCCCGCCCGACCAGCTCGATGGTTTTTGTAGCCACTGCCGGGTGATAAAACCACCCCGCATCGATATCAGAAATACCCCTGTCCCAGATCCGAATGATTGTCTCTAATTGGAAGTTTTGACGTGTGTATTATGTTAAAGGCGATGGTGTTGACGCCGATCTCGGTGCCGAACCACCCTTATAGTATGTGTACGTATAGTGAGCCCCGGTGGGTGGTGGTTTGCCCATTGCGTGGGAAGTCAAAGCTCAGGGGTTCTCACATAGCTGAAACATTTATATGTGTTTAACCGGCAAAAATGAATTAATGCGCAAAAGATTGTTTCTGGTTTTTTTAGGGGTGATTTAGAATGTTCCCACATTCGATAGACAGCAATTTCGGTTGCCCGGTTTCAATGCAATTTTGGTCTCAAGTGATTTTTTGGTGTGGGTCAATGGATTTAATTGCAAGTAGTGAAATTTCATTAAATTAAATTAAATGATTCGTTTGGGAGCTATAGTCCTTAGGGATATAAGGCATATTGCTAACATTTTTTATAAACTGCGGGAAATATTTCTTGAGTCTATCTTTGGTTCCATAAAATATGCAAAATGGAAACATACCTTTGTAGATAAGCCGGTAAGGTGCAAACCTTATAAGGTATAGGGCGTAAAGACTAAAATTATGCTTCTATGGGAAACGAATCGGCACTAATTATACCCGTTACTCGTAGAGTAAAAGGGTATATTGTATTCGTGCAAAAGTATGTAACAGCTAGAAGGAAGCGTTTCCGACCCTATGAAGTATATATATCTTGATCAGGATCACTAGCCGAGTCGATATAGCCATGTCCGTCTGTCCGTCTGTCCGTCTGTCCGTCTGTCCGTCTGTCTGTCCGTCTGTCTGTCTGTCTGTCTGTCCGTATGAACGCTGAGATCTCGGAAACTATAAAAGCTAGAAGATTGGCATTTGCATGTAGATTTGAGCAGTTCCTACGCAGCGCAAGTTTGTTTCAAAATGGTGCCACGCCCCTCTGACGCCCACAATCGCTTATATTTTAAAAATTTAAATATTTCGGAAAGTAAAAATGCAGTTTTATTGTGTTTATCAATACCTATCGAAATGTAGAAGACATTTTTCAAATCGGACCATTCGTTAAAAAGTTATGCGTGATCAAAGTTTCTATCTCCATCTCCCTCGCACTCCCTTTACCTGAGTAACGGGTATCTGATAGTCGGGGCACCCGACTATAGCGTTCTCTCTTGTTTTTGATTAAACCCCTTAAGAACAATAGTATTTAAGGAAATAAGTAATAGTTTCTTTAAAGCAAAACCCCTCTACTATTTTAAGACGTATGCACGATACATTAAAATGTATTTCTACTAGCACCCTCATATATCCAGCGTTTATGATCTCCTTGGAATTTGACAGCTAGCTTTACATTCTTACACTCGTTTCAATTGGTCCTGAGGTTAATATTCATCTGGAACATAAACTCAAGATCGAATGGATTCCAAACACAATTCATTCGTAAGCCCTAAGGGCCAAACCGAAAAACTGTCTACAAAAAGATATTCCCCGCCAAACCACATGTTGAGTTTAAGTAGTAGTACATTTTCAGATACATTTAGAATACAAAAGCACCCTAAACTAAACTAAATTACATCGCATATTATAATATTTTAACCCTGCTACCTTTATGATATAGTTTCCCTTTCGAGGCTTTTGTTTCTGGAGCGCTTACAAGATCCTTGCGTAACCCGCTTTCCTGTTTTTCTCGAAAATTTCCCGTTTATTGTGCGGTTTCGGGTTCCGGGTTCAGTATCTGGTGTTCGGGGTTGCGACCCCCAGCACCTTGCTAAACCCGCTTCCTAATTACATGCGGCGAATGTGCAGCCGGCTTAACTAACCGCCGCGGACTGGCCGTTCACGTGCTTAGTTAGTTCAGATATTCATATGCTTATGCAAATTTTATGAACCGTTGACCCCCGTTATAAACTGGCTGACCAGCGGTCAGCGGTCCGCGGTACGCGATCTAACGAGCACAGTGGCAGCTTATTGGGTCCGGATTATATCCAGTTCAATGGATTTTTAAAATACTCAAACTGTTCACAATACGAAACCAAAATGATTCCAGGATGTTTCCGGCATTGGGGGCATCACTCGTCATCCGGTCGCAGATACCCGAAGCGCAGTCGCGCCTGCTCGTACAAAATAAAGGTGATGATGGTGTTGGGACTGACCCGGATCAGGGCCGGAATGAAGCCGCGATAGAAGGCCAGGGGTCCCTGCCTGGCGATGCTGATGAAGGCCGCCCCGATCCCGGAGAACTCCCCCGGCTTGGCGTTCATAAAGGTGGTCTTGAGCACATCCAGTGGCTGCGTCATCACCGTGGCGATGCAACCGGCTATCGTGGAGGTGCCAAAGTGCAGAGGGACGCCATCGGCCGCTCCTGTCGCGGTCTTCAGCATCTGCTTCACCTGGTCGTAGGCGGCATTTGTCCCGATGGTCAGCAGGACGGACCTCGAAACGGCTGGCACTGCGCCGCGGAACAGACTGGAAACGCCCTCCTCTTTGTAAATGCGGAAGAGGCCATCAAAGACGTGCTTGTAGCTGAGGAATTAGTTGAGATGCAATGAGATCGGTAGTAATTGGTTTGAAAGACAAGACCGTCTGAAACCCGTTTAAAATTCCGGTTAATCCTAAAACAGCCAAATAGGTTTACCTCCTTATAGAAGGTTGTTAATATCTAGAAAAGAACGTAGTCCAAACACAAAACTTTTTTATAGAAAAACATACAAATACACGGACGAACGGATAATGGTGTTAGATCGACTTGGCTGTTGAAGCTGATCAAAATTTGACTTTTGATTGAAACACGGTTACAAGCGATTTTTTACTCTACGAGTAAAAACACACCAAGGAAATACTCACTTACGCCTGCTCTCGGGCGGCAACTTGCTGTCGTTCTGCAGTCGCACAGTGACCACGTCCCCAGGAACGCCCACAATGCCGCCGATAACTCCGGCCAAGGCGGCAAGGCCCATCTTGCCACTCAAGCTTTCGGCGTCGACATAAGCCTTGCCAGATTCGTACAGGGCAAAACGAGTGGTGGTGTAGGTGAGCTGGCGGAACCAGGAGGCCGATATGCCATTGTAAAAGCCCAGCAGGCCATTCTGACTGTAGATGTTTTTGATGATCTCGCCCACAGACTTCTTTTCCTTCACCAGCTGCGTCTGCAGCTGCACCTTGATCAGGTCCAGCGGGTGGGTGGTGGTCACTGCGATCGCCGAGCAGACGCCGCCGGACCACCAACGCGGCAAGCGTCTCGAGTCTCGCATGATCTATTAATTCGATATTTATGGTTACCTGCAATTTTTTTTTATTGAAAAGCAATTATAATTTAAATAAGTGTCAAGCCAGAAAGTGACAAGTAACACAAATATAACTTTACTTTTACCCAACACGTCAGTTCTATGAAACAAAGTAGTTTCATATAGTATTTTACTTATAATCAGATCCGTTTATTTACAATAGATTCACAAAAGGTTCATAATCTTATGGTAAAGAATAAATTAAATGCAAATGCTTAAGGAAGTAGCTAATCTCACTGCTTAGTTTGCGAACTTAAGACTATCACACTTGGTTTGCTCTGACTAGAGATCCTGTTCCGATTTCACTTTTCATTACCAGGGGTTTATCCGATTAGTAGGCCATCTCGGCGCCCCAGGGTCGATAGGGCTTGGCTCCGTTGGGCGTGGCATACTGCAGGACGCTGGCATTGTTGTAGTCCTGGCCCCCACTGACCGGATACTGAGGGGCGGCACTGTAGCTGAGGCTCTCGGAACCCACGGCCGCCGGACGATTGCTGTTGGTCAGCTCGATGTAGGTGGGTATCTGCTGCTGCTCGGGATGCACCACGCTGTGATCGTGCGTGTAGTGTTGCTGCTGTGGCGACTGAGGTGTTGTCTGGGTCCTTTGTTGTTGCTGGTGTTGCTGTTGCTGCTGGTGTGGCTGGTGTTGCTGTTGCTGCTGCTGCTGTTGCTGCTGCTGCTGTTGCTGCTGTTGCTGCTGTTGCTGCTGCTGGCTGCTGCTTTCGGAGTGAAGATCGTGGGTGGGTAATGATTCGTTCACTCCACCTCCACTTGTCCGGGAGACACTGGTGCGACCCCCAAGTTGCTGGGTCTGCTGGGAAGGCGATGCACTTAGCGTGGGATAGCTGGAGACATAGGCACCCGGATTCGCTGGCGCCGCATAACTCTGGTAAGGAGCCGCTGCACAATTCGGCTGATAGCCGGAAGTACTTGGAGTGGCTGAGGCCCAACCTCCAGGACTGGCGCAACTCTTCGCCGACAGCTCGCGCTGCTGCACGAAGTACTGCAGGTGGGACATGAGGCGCAGGCGCAGCGGATCCTGGATGTCCATGCCCTCGATGGTGACCAAATAGCGGGCCACCTCGGCGGCGCACTCGCGGAACCCGATGATGTGGTAGTCCATGGCCACGCGCTGCGGGTCATAGCTCAGCGAGTCGAGAGCTGCAAGGAAACGGGAGGAGGAGGAGAAAGTCAATAAGCTGTCTAATCTGGGATCGAGGAAACAATTAAAATAGCAGTTCCCACGCAACATTCATAAAGAACAACCCCCGTGTCCTTATACGGGATGACTAGTGAGGTGGCCATCAGGGGGTGGCAGCTTTTCCACAGTGGTGGTACCATCAACAGCGTGGGAAGCCCCGAGAATCGAGATTCACTTGGGCGTTAGGGTGGTGGTGGTGCTGTTTTGCTTACGGCAATCATAACTTTCCCACAACACGACCCTGTTCGGGACAACAGGTCAGGATTGTTTACCCAGATTTGTGATAATTTGCCGCATATTGTATTTAATCTTGTGACTCAATTGCTTCCCACAGCGAGTTTTTGTTTAGGGATTCTAGTTGGAGTTTTTTCCCATGATAATGTTTGTTAGAAGGACTCTACTTATTAAGTTGGAGGGAAATTGAAATAGTGGTTACTTTCTCTCACGAAATTGAATATTTAATTATAAATGGTTAACGTTTATAAACTTCGGTTGAAATTTGCTCATTTGCAATTGTATGGTATTAACTAAATTGATAGTTAATATCGAACGTGATTCTATTATTAAAATCTATATCCCTTTAAAATTTCGTGGTGTCACTACCTAAACCCTTTCCGCAACTGGTAAAATTGACACTTACTTTTTGATTGCAAGTTCTTCAGATGCTCTACGGTCAGCTGAAGGATCTCTGCCTTCTCCAGCTTTGCGGATCCCTGCTTTTCGTATGCGGAGGGCACCAGACGTTTCAGCTCGGTCAACGAGGAGTTGATCCGATCCCGACGCTTCTTCTCGATCACTCCGCGACGCTTCTTGCGGCTCATCAGTTGGCAGCTGCCCGTTTCGCTGGGCGAGATTCTAAAAGGTGAATAAAGAAAATATTTCAAATTTAGTAAGGAGATTTTTAGGAAATTCGACTTATAATACTAAAAAAAACAAACATAAATTTAGTTCATGTTTGAACTGATCCAAACGCTCATAGACTTTTCTTAACAATAGAATCAGCCTTGAACATGCTGCGATAATTCAAATTATTGAATAGTTAGTTTTTTTATTCAGCTAAAAAATCCACAGATTTCAATTGATAGAGAACTTAAGGAGGTTGTAATCCGAAAATGTCTTATGACAAATCACGTACGAATTTTCTAGTATATTTCCGTAGGTTTTGAACTTTGTTTTAGTATAAACTGTATTCTGATTCACTGAACGAAAAGTGATTGTGATTTTTTTTTTAGCCTGCTAGGCATTGTTTAAGATGTGGTTTCTTTAAAAAATATATTTTAACAAAAGAGAACACTTCTTAGCAAATCACGTATACGCACTGTTCTTTGGAGGACTCCTCGGAGTAGAGGTCGTCGCAGTCGCTCTCGGAGAGCGTCCGCTTGAGGCTGCTGTGTCCGTGGCTGTGGCTCTGGCCGTGGCCGTGGCTGTGGTTGCTGTGGGCGCTGTGGTGGCTCTGCGGCGGCGGCACCCAGTGGCTCTGGGGCGTGCCACCGGCGGTGGCGCCGGGCATGACCACTCCGGGACCGGCGGCATAGCCCCAGTGATGCAGCGACGGCGCGTTCACGTGCATGTTGTGATCCATTGTGTGTGTTCGTGAGTGTGTGTGTGCTGCTGTTTGTTTGCTGCTCCTGCGCACTTGACACTGCAGTGTTGCTATTGATGTTGCTGTTGTCGCTGGGCGAGTGTTGCGTGTTGCTAGTTGGACTGGCAGCAAGTTGCTGAGATGGAGTGCAGGACCGAGCTAGCGGAGCTAGTTTGAGCACGTGACTTATCGTGTGCGCGAACGGCGTTCGACTGATTCTGCAGCACACGTCGAGCGGACGACCTGCCCTCCGCTGCCGCCGCTCAACCCCTTTTTACCGCCTGCGGCAGCCGTCCAATAAGACGCAGCAGCAACCACCCCCTGGCAACGCGTGCAGGCCGGGATTGCGGGATTGGGGTAGGAAATTTGCGTCGAGCGGCGATCACTGCCAAGTGAGCAAGTGAGCAAGGGAGTGTGTGTGTGTGCGACAGGGAGCGGCGAACGAAATGAGCAAGCCTCTGTCATCGATTTCGATTGTATCTTGTATCTAGTATCCGATACAGGGACTCCAGCAGCATCTGCAACATGGCCACTAAACGACGGCGCCGTGGGCGACAAACTGGCGACGTCCGCCGTCCACTTGTTCGCCGCTGGAGCGGCTGCATCGGGCCACGGAACTCAAACTGGAGCACGCGCCCGAGCAGCCGCCGGTCGTGTGGCATCGGAAAAGCCCCAACAAGTGCAACAGCCGCCGTTGACCTTTATCTTGGCAGTGGGCCGCGTGCTGGTTGGCCCACACATTTCTAGGTCAGTGTTGGCTCAAGGTTACGGCGTTAGGCATCAGGAATCCGGAACGGGAGCAGGAGCCAACATAACAGCGCCTGCGGCAGCAGGTGACCGAAGTTGACCTAGAATTTGCCTGAGGTAAAATCGATTTGTTTGTTTGCCTTAAAGCTATGCTGATGGGCAAACATGGTTATCTAAACAGCTTGGCTTTCTTTTGATGAATGAATTTTTTGCGTGGTTCACTATTGATTTCTATAAATATTTACGTAGTCAAATCAATATTATATATAACTTTAGACTCAATTATGAAAAAATTACATCAAGACTGTACGAAAGGTCTTTAAACTTGATATGCGGCTGAGAAAGTTCTTAAAGTTAATAAACAGAGCGAGAGTATCGTATACCTAAAGATGGTACATTTTGTGGTGGGGACGTCGCCAGGACCAACAAGGAATTAAAGGAATCTGGTTGATTAATTACGATTCTCTTGCTCTAATAGCTACCAAAATCTGCGACAGACAGACTCTGCAGCAATATACAAATATAAATAGTTTAAAGGGGTATAAAAGGTTTCCGTCTACCGGTTATGCACTTCAGCAAAATATTAATACTTTTTTACTGAACGATTATCTTGTGTTAATATACAAATCTCTGCAAAAGTTTCATTGAAAAATCGTTTCAAATAGTATACATTTAAAAAAAAAAAATACAATGTAACTTTTATAATGTCAAGATGATAACACAGGACGATTTGTAAAGTGGCCTAGGTAATAAAAACTTAAAGGTTCATAATATATTTTGTTACCAATTCATTAAATCTAGCAGATGATGAAATGAGCGTCTCAAATAATTGGCGCGTGACCATGCCCATCGATTCTAACCTTTCTAGAAAACTGGCTAAAAAAGACTTAAACACTTGAAAAGTAATAGGAAAATAATAGAAAAACCAATATAACGGTGATGTTATAAACGCATATAACTCCAGAAAAAATATTTTTTTAATGAAAAGAAAACAATATGCAAAAGTAATCGGTAGGGGGTAAATAAAAATCATTTTAAACTGGATCTAAGGAATTAAGATTATGCAGATTAAAACAAATGGTGGAGAAATTTGTTTGGTATAATTAAGTTTAGGATTTAATTATACAATTTTCTTCGTCGGAGACTTATTTTAAGAATTTTACATATTTCGTTGGGCAAAACTTTTGTTTGCTGATATCGTTTTGAGTAAATAAAATATCCAAAAAAATGTATCATTTAATTGAAATAAATCTAATTTCTCTCCAAAAAATTAATACCAATATTCAAAAATCTATTTTCCGAAATCGAAGAAATTTCACTCAAAGTTTCACAAAATATACCTCTCCCACCACTTGATATAAGTTTCTCTAAACTTAAAATAACAATTGCAACATTTCTTTCCATTTCTCGATTAATTTCGATTGTCGCTGCGTAAGCTTAATAATAATGGCGTTCCATATCAATTTCAAAAAGAACACAAAAATCGAAAATTATAAAAAAGTGCTTTTAATTTGATTCGGCATGCTGTCGCTCAGGTTTCAACTGTGGCAAGCAGCAAAGTAAGAATGCTTAATGGCCAATGCCAGTGCCAGTGCCAGCGTGGGACAAACTCTGTCCGGGAATCGCCGGAACCCACCCCTAATCGAGTGGATGGATAGTGCAGGGCTACGGGCACACATTTAGCGGCAAGTTGAACTTGCACCACCGACGGACCGAAATCGCGGCCGTGGCTCGTGGGAAAGCCAAAGGTCTACGGATTCTCACGAGCGTCCAGCACGTGCGGGTCGTGCGCCGGAATGGATCGATGGAGGGGGTGGCGTCGAACTCACCCCTCCCTCCCACAGGACAAATGCATTACTCAAGGTATGGAGCCAAAGGAGCGCCGCACACACATACACACTTTATTGTTAATGGATATCCTCGAAAACAACTTTCTATAATGAAAATTGCGGTCTACCGACTCAAATACTCGAATACATAATATATATGTAGGTAATTCTCACAAGACTGGTTTACATGCTCAATCGCTGGACGCAAAGTGGAGGTCGCGGAGCCGCTGAATTCCCCTCCCGGGGACTCAGAAGCTCCTAAGGCAAAGATTACAGTTGTTCCCGGTGGCCACCGAGTCGTGTCGGTGCAGCTCCAGGCTCAGGGGCTCCGCGTCGTCCACCCAGGTCTCCAGGGTGCAGGAGCTGGACTGGTGGCTGGACTTCTGGGACTGCGAGAGGGATCTGGTGACGGCCGCCGCCTGGCGCCACCTGGCATCGAAGTCCTCCCAGCGATCGCAGGTGTCGTCGTCGAGGGAGTTGCCGTTGATGTCCCACTTGACAATGGGAAAGTCGTCGTGCGGCGGCTCCATGATCACCACGTTGTGGTAGTTGCCCTCGAACTTGGAGCCCAGACTGATGCTGCAGGGATGATAGCGGTTGGCCGGGGGAATCCTCTGCTGCTGCACTTGCTTCCTTGGAGTGGCCTGCTGTTGCTGCACTTGCGGCTGCTGTTGCTGCAGCTGCAGCTGCTGCAGTTGCTCCTGCTGCTGCTCCTCCAGCTGCAGGTCCAGACTGGAATTGGAGGGTGTGTGCCGCAGATAGCGCACATTCTCCTTGTAGTTGACCCGCTCGAATTCGATGCTCGGCAGGGTGGCCAACACCTCGTAGCTGCCGTAGTTCATCAAGTACTTAGTCCTCAGATCGTGCTTGGGCTCCTGCTGCGGCTCCTCCACTTCCTTGGCCAAATCCAAGGCCGGAGTGCACTCACTCAGCTGCAACTCCTCGTAGATGGCCTCCATCGCGGGGCAATTGCTGTTCATATCCAGCTCCAGATCCCGCTGCAGGTCCACCTCCACCTCCACCTGCACCTCCTCGTCGTCTCCGTCCTCCTCGTCCAGGCGCTGCACGAATAGATGCTTTGAAGTCGATATCTTGCGCAGGAACTGCAACAACACAAATCGATATGGGGATAAACTTAGCGCGAGCGGTCAACGCGGCGTATGATTAACGTGCTTTGAGCACAGGCATGTGAACTTTACTGTTTATTTTCATTCGGCGGCCGCCATCGATTTTTTATTGATTACCCAGTGGGCATAGCCACCCACCCAGACTAACCTTCAGACAGGACTTCTTGGTGCGCCTCAGCAAATGCGACATGCTGACGCTGTCTTTGTGTCGCCGCCGATTATTCCTCCCAAATTGAACGGTGCAATTACAGAAGCTATTGTTGCCCTTCCATCGGAGTTGTGGCAATGAGCCGGGACATGTGCCTCATCGCTGCTGCAGCCCGTTGGCCTATCCAAACAAAACTGAACGAGGAAGCGCCGAGTCGAACCCTCGCAGGTGGAGCAAGGACTTCCCATGCCGCACTCGTGCCACATGACTCATGGCAGCGGCACGAGTGCACGAAGAAAAACAAATGGGACTTAAAAACATCAGGGTCTGAAAATAATGTTTATTTGATTTTTATTTTTTTGAATACTATTGGGATCTTCACACTGTTTTATTTCTATTTAATTGTCTATTCACTTTGTGGACAGAAATCAAGAATAGCCATGTCAAAAGAATTTAATTGAGTACTTAAATTAATTATAAATTGTCGGTTTTTTTAAAACTTAATAAGCTTTAAGAAAAAGATGTATGAAGATAAATTGAACTCTTTTTAAAATATTCATGATTTCCATCTGAAAAATAAATCTACACCTCCTAGAGTTTGAGTTTTTAAAGAAATTATATATACTCTTAGTACTTTGGGTGCTTCCGAGTAGAAATATGATATTGATGTTTTTATGTTTTTCTAAACCAATATACAGTTTTGGTAGTAGAAATGTATTTAATAATTTCAGTTAAAAGTTGAATGACTTCCTCATACACAAATATTAAATTAAAATAGAGTTTACGTAGGTAAATTAAAAAATGGTAAGTGTCTATTATAAAACATAACTTTGTCCCATTATCACCAAAGTGGGTGGATATTTCCCACTGTGTACTGGGGAGCAGTGCAAGTGCCAGTGAGAGCCTCTGCCGGCACAGGCGCAGTATAATCCAGGCGCACAGATTGGAAATCTCGAGTGGGTTGCCCCTAATGCGGTAATGGCCCGGCTTAGAGCCCACTCCCACTCCCCCTCCCCTTCCCCTGCAGCTCCCCCGAGCCGAGGGTCCTCGAATTGCCGGTCAAGTGCCTGGGGCGCTACTGTGGGCCAAAGGTGAGTCCTGCTCCCTGATTATTATTGTTCGTGTGGCGGATGAGGGCGCCAACTTGGCGCTGCCATCCATGGCAAGTTTATTATGAAACTATTTCCGGAGAGGGTTGCCGCTAAACTTGTGGGAGGTGGTCATATAACTACGCGAAAATATATTTCCCACGCATTGCGTTATAAATAGTGTGTCAATGCCATGAATGTTCGTGTGAAGGCGATTTGTTTTATAATTTTATTCAACAGAAACTATACGCTTGCAGATAATTCCATCCTTTTAGTATGTAGGTTTAAGTAACTTGGCATCCATCATCTTGTTTTGAGCTAGGACGTTAATAATATATTTGTATTTATTAATCCGTATCCATTATTTCATGTTAGCAAATGAAAACATCTGTATTTCATTATTATGATCTGTAATAAATTAAAAATAAATAAATTTAAGCCATATATTTTAGAAATATTAACTTTCTTAATTATAGCAAGAATCATTTGATTGATTCGTTTATTTGGAGTCAATACTTTTATTATAAAGAGAAAAACTTGCCTGAATGCTTAAAGAGAGAAAAAATAAGGGAATGTACCAACAAAAATCTAAGTTCAATATTAAAATGTATATATAAACTTACTCGAGTTGCTCAACATTCTCTTCTAAGAGAGATAGTGGTTTTTTGGCTTATCAGCAGACCCGGTTCAAATTATATTCATAAACAGGTCGTCTAGTCCAAAAGTGATAAAGAAAACGAATTTGAAAGACAGACACAACTGATTAATGACAAATATTTTTTCTTTACGCTTAAACGAAAAAAATACGTTTTCTTTATCACTTTTGATTTGTTACACTGAATTGTCTTTAGATTTTTAGTTTCTCTCTTTTTTGAACGAGTTTTAAGTGATCATAGACAATTTTTGAAGAATAATTAGGGAATTTACAAACGTTAATCGATTTGAATGCTTCCATAGACCAACGCAATTGAAATGTATCTCGATTTTAAATGAAATGCTATGGGAACTTTTGGGTCTGACGACTGAATTAATGACATTTACATGTAAATTCTCAGCAAATTAACCAAATGATTTAAATGCATTTAGTTGTACAAAACGAAGCGAAACCAGTTTTACAATTCAGCATGGTAAAAGTGCTATGTTTCCGTTTCTGTATTTGTATTTTTTGTGAGCACTTTACAGCCTGTCGTCGATTTGTCACATCACTCAAAGTGAGGAGTGCTCGCCGCGGATTCGGGTTAGTTTTGAAGTCGCATTCGAAACTGGAAAACTGGAGTCGAGTGAATGATGACACTCGCGGCAAATTGCAATCAAATCGCAATGATTCGGTTATATTCGATTCCTTGGGTTTTCGAGCATGACAAGATCCTTTTTCGGCCATCGCTCAATACTTTTGTCTGTTGTTTCTGACAGTTGTCATACTGGGGACTCAAACTCCTTTTTTTGTAACATCTTCGCCGAAGGCCAAAGGGTGTGCGAAAAAATATTGATGGGCCCAACCAATTAAAGGTTGATTGATAGGACACTCCAGCAAGCTGGCGATGAAGAGCGGCAATTGCCAATATCGATTACAAAAGTTTGATTTTAATTTTTAATTGCCCGTTCGGACGCAGTCGAGGGGTGGCAGCTAAATTGGCCAGGACAACAGACCACAACAACCCTCCCTTCCGACACGCACACTTCTATTATTGTTATTATTATTGTCATTGCCGTGGAATTTTCTAGGGGTGCGTAGGGGTTTGATGGGATTTCGATTCCGCTTTCAAAGGCGGTGTGAAGTGCGCCGTGTCCTCGGGGCAAGTGTCGATTATGCACGACTTGAGGGCCACTCCGGCATTTGCCGCTCAAAATTTACATTTTATTAGTTTTACATGTCCGTGCAGCCGCGCGAGGGCATTAAAATTATTTACGATGCCAAATATTGTTGGTTGTAAATTACGCATTCTGGCAAATATTCGCTCGGGGGAGTGAGCGGGCAACGGCCGGCTCAATCGCTTGACCTTTTGCCGCTAATTAGAGCCTCATTGTTCCCGGCAGTGTAACATTTTCGGAGCGTGCTCCTAAATGATTCGCAAGTCTGTTGCGATTCTGACCCAAGTCGTTGACTGATAACAAAAATGCTATGGGATCAGTCGGGCCCGAGTGCCCCAGTCAGTTGCGAACAGTATCCCTGAGATGGCGAACGGTCTCCCAGAAATCCAGTACTACGAGCACGAGCTCAACATCCGCCGGGTGATCGAGCAGTCCGACCTGCAGGGTCTGGATCAGGCCCTCAACATCTGCGATCTGTCCAGCGTGGAAAGGAAGCATCGCCTCTGGCAGAAGCTTCTGCCCAGGATTAAGCCCTTCTACGCCGTCAAGTGCAACGACGATCCCGTGGTGGTCAAGTTGCTGGCGGAGCTGGGAGCCGGGTTCGATTGCGCCTCAAAAAATGAACTCAAACTGGTGGGTCTCCCTCTTCTATAGGATTTTAATTTATTGTTACTTTGAGTAACTATACGGCTTCAAGGCATTCAGAAAGAATGGGAATATATTTCACATCACTTAAATTGAAAGAAGAGAGGAATAGAATAAATGGAACACTAAAGTTCATGACAACCCAAGAGGCCAGATGGTAATCACTTATAGTAATGAAATGAGCTATACATTTACAGAGAATTTTACATTTACCTAGCAACAGATTGTACTCTTCAAATTTTTCATTAAAAATAGTTTTCTGTGCTTTCATATTTAATTTCAATAGTCAATTGACATTTCTTAGGGATTTTTTTTATTGTTTTTATATCCTTGCAGAGGGTATTATAATTTAGGTCAAAAGTGTGCAACGCAGTGAAGGAGACATCCCCGATCGGATCAATCATGTCAAATTTGATACCCATTGCTGTTTTTAAAAAAAAATTGTAATTTATCTGTGTTTTTTTAGAACTTTTGCCACCAATATCAACATTTTATCAAAATCGGATGACTATACTGGCCTTACGGTTCCGTGCAGTTTATTCGCGTGCTACTAATATAAAACTTTTCGAGTCGTTTAAGAACAAACGTATTATATTATATACCAAATCATTTAATTTGTTAAAGTTTTATCTTTCATATTTACTGTATAGTTACATATACGCAGTATATATGCGATATTATTGAAAAATGTTACTGATCGGGAATTATCTAGCGAACTCGCTCATCACTTTAGGGATATGTTGTTGTTAAAGGTAGCCTCCGTTTTCCTTAGTTTTCCATTTGTATACCATGCGAGATTTAGGTAATGAATGGCAATTAACCTTACTCTTATAAGTTGATCCTTATTCCTTACTTTCTTTATGTATACATTTACACAATACTTTTAAACTATATTTTTAATGTATTCAATTAAAAGGTCCTAGGCTTTGATGTCTCACCAGAGCGCATTATCTTTGCCAATCCCTGTCGACCTGTCAGCCATCTGGAATACGCCAGGGAGAAGGAGGTGGCCAATGGCACGGTGGATAACGAGTTCGAGGTGTACAAGCTGCACCAGCACTATCCCGACTCCAAGTATGTGCTAGCCAACCCGAGAATTCAGCAGTACAATGTTGTTTTTCAGCCTTATTGTGAGATTCAAAAGCGAGGCCAAGGAGGCGCAGTGTCCGCTGGGCGACAAGTTCGGCTGCGATGCGGATGTGGATGCTGCGGCCCTAATGCTGCTGGCCAAGTCCTTGGATCTGAAGGTGACCGGCACCAGTTTCCATGTGGGCTCCGGATGCAGCGAACTGGAGGCCTACGATCGGGCCATCAAGAAGGCCAAGAACCTCTTCAAGTTGGGCGGGCTGCTGGGCTATGACATGGACTTTTTGGACATAGGCGGCGGCTTTCCCGGCAGCGATGATGGAAAGTTTAAGAGGGTAAGTTGGAGAAATACCTCTGATACCTTTGATGGTATGAGGAACAATCCTTTACAGATAGCCGAAAGTGTTAACACCTCGGTGCAGCGCCACTTTCCCGATGAGCGGGTGCAAATAATTGCCGAGCCAGGACGTTTCTTTGTAGCGGCTGCCTTCACATTGGTCTGCAAGATTCATGCCAAGCGGGAGATTCGCAATGAAGCTGGCAAGCTGGACACCGTGATGTACTACCTAAATGATGGCGTCTATGGATCCTTCAACTGCATTCTGTACGACCATCAAGTGGTGACTGCGGAGCATTATCTAGTAAGTAATTTTCATTAATATTTAACGTACTCGGTGTGCTTGATAAATATTAAATAAGTAATTATGTGTTCCAACGGACACCAATTATTTTGCATACAAAGGGTTTTCCCAAATATATTAATTTAAAAAAATCTTTTTAATGAAAACATAATTTAATAACATCAGAGTAAAATTAGTAAAATTATAAATTTTTATATTGAATTACCTAAAAGCGGAATGTATTGAAAGTTTGTGTTCATTGCAAATCTAATATACCGATTAATTAACAAATACATTTTAAAAGTGCTTATTTATACCAATCTGACAAATTTGTTGACAGAAATAACACCATTTACTTTAAATGATTATAAACGATTGTTTACATAGGGGCAAGTTTTATTCATTGTTTAAATATGTATTTAAAAAAGGTTTCTAGTTAAACAAAGTGGACCGTTTACCTAACCCTCTTTAACTCCTTTAAAAATGCTTCAACACTTTTAATAATTTTCCAGGACGAAGCGGATGCATTGCCCCAGTTGAAGTCTCTGATTTGGGGACCAAGTTGTGACGCATTTGACAAGGTGGGCTAACATTTGTATTTCAGTCCGGCAATATAACGTAACGATTTTCAAACACTTCAGATATCAGAGGACCTGTTCTTGCCCAACCTGAACCGAGGCGATCTTTTAGGATTTCGAAACATGGGAGCCTATACAATGCCCATTGCAAGTCCATTTAATGGATTCGATGTCCCAAAGACTCTGTACTTCCGAGCGATATGACTAAACCGTTTGTTGAAACCAATAAAAGCAACACTGGCTTGCACTTCTTTCCAGCATGAAAGCTTGACTTGTTTTATTTTCTTATTGCACTGCGAACTAGAGCATTTTTTGGTACAAAATCTGGTTTTGCATCCCTCAAAGAAGGCAGCTATCAGCCAAGTATAAATTAAAATTTTTGACAAATTAACACTTGTTTTATTTCAATCAAATCAAATCGATAAGCATATAAGAATGCAATACGTTTTTGGTACATGAAGATAGTGTTACCCGGCTAATCCGTTGAATTGTGTAGTTTAATAGCAGAAGGCCGATGTCTTTATTAACAACCTAGAGATATAGGTGCTCTCACCTTCGCAATGAAGCATTGAAACCCCTCAAACAATTTCAGTCAAAAGTTTGGCACGCAGTGAAGGAGACATTTTCGACCCTGTAAAGTATATATACTATATTCTTGATCAGCATCACCAGGAGAGTCAATCTAGCCATGTCCGCCTGTAAATCCGTCTATCCGTCCGTCCGTCTGTCCGATTCTACGCAGTTTTAAAGCTTTCTGCTTGAAACTTTCCCAAAAGTTGCAGGTAGTATATAAGTCAGAACGAGCCATGTCCTATTTTTTCCGATTGTTCCTATTCTTTTTATACCCTTGCAGAGGGTATTATAATTTTGGTCAGAAGTTTGTAACGCAGTGAAGGAGACGTTTCCGACCCTATAAAGTACATATATTCTTGATCAGGATCAATAGAGGATTCGATATAGCCATGTCCGTCTGTCCGTCTGTCCGTCCGTCCGTCTGTTTCAATACCGTTTGCGAGCTCAGTTTAAAAGCTAGCGATCTGAAACTTACACAGTCGTCCTAAAACGTGTGTACGCAGATCAAATTTGATGATTTTCAGAATTTTTCGCGCAGTGTGTAAGCTACTGACATAAATTTTTCCAAATCTTATTTATTTACGGATATATTGATTAGGGTAGAAGCGCTTGCCGATCGGGCGTTTGTTAAAGGTTGCGAAAATATCCCTTTTTTTCTATTTTTATATGACATTTTTGCAGTATAAAAGCAATTGACATCAAGCGATGCTACTTTTTCAGTTTTAGCAATTTTGGCAAAGTCTTCAAGGCTATTAAAACTTCGGCTTGCCGAAGTGAGCTTCCGTCCTCGTTCCATTTAATTCATTTCAGTTTTCGAAATGCTTTAGTTTAACATTTCTACCTCCTATCTTTGTATTTTCAGCTTCCAATTTATTAAAGTTCTTTTAGGCGGGTCGCAAATAAAGGCTCTTACCTTTATTTCAAAATGATTTGTTCTATACAAAAAACCACCCGAAATAAGAGAACGAAGTTCAGAAAAAAATAAGTTGAAATATTCGTTAGCATATTTTGGTTTGCTGTCTCCACAATAAACGCTTGATAACAATACAGGGACAGTTTTATAAATATTCTCTCTCTCTCTTTAGACACATAATTAAAAGCGCTCCTATCTTTGCTTGATGAAATTTTTTTGTACACACCATCAAAGATGGTGAAAGATCTCTGCATCTCAGAGCGATCAGTTCCGAAATGTGCGAGATGGCGAGCGGTGTTCCCAAATTTCAGTTCTACGAGAACGAGCTGAACATCCGCCGGGTGATCGAGCAGTCTGACTTGCAGAGTTTGGACCGGGCCCTCAACATATGTGATCTGTCCAGTTTGGAGCGAAAACTACGCCTCTGGCACAACCTGCTTCCCAGGATCAAACCCCATTACGCCGTCAAGTGCAATGACGATCCGGTGGTAGTGAAGTTTATGGCGGATCTTGGAACTGGGTTCGATTGCGCCTCCAAAAACGAACTCAAACTGGTGGGTTTTTTTTCAATTTTGACCTTTTTATACCCTTGCAGAGGGTATTATAATTTCGTCAAAAGTGTGTAACGCAGTGAAGGAGACACCTCCGACCCTATAAAGTATATATATTCTTGATCAGGATCACCTCCTGAGTTGATATGAGCATGTCCGTCTGACCGTCTGCCTGTTTCTACGCGAACTAGTCTCTCAGTTTTAAAGATATCGAATTGAAACTTTGCACACACCCTTCATTCCTTTGCACGCAGTATATAAGTCGGATATATAACTGAACGATCGGAAATGCCATAACCTTGGTGTTTGTAAAGTCAGAAAGTTGCGATTTTCTATGGGTGTTACTTTTGTCCAATCAATCCCACCTACCAAATTTTATAAGGATCGGCCGACTATCTCCTGCCATATAACTGAACGATAGAAAATGCCATAACTTTGGTGTTTTTAAAGTTAGGAAGTTGGGATTTTTTTTGAGTATTAAGAATGCATCATATGAATAATTTTGGAGAATATAATTTACATAATATTCTCCAAGGGTATATCAACTTCGGCTCCGCCCGAAGTTAGCTTTCCTTTCTTGTTTAAATGTAACTTAAAGAGGTAAAGGTATAAAGAACAAAGGAAAAAGCTGTAGCGGAGTGCCTCGACTATAAGATACCCGTTACTCAGCTAACCCATTTCAAAATAATTATACGTTTAAAACGTATTATGCCCTACAACTGGCGGTAAAGTGGGAGCGGCCAAATTTGTAAATAAACTTGCACTGACTGGGAATAACTATAATGCTAATTTCAAAATCTCTACATGATATCAAATCTCTTACATGAGCTCTACGTTCATACTGGCGGGCAGATAAATTAACTTTAACTTTTCAGGTGCTTGGATTCGGCGTTTCTCCTGAGCGTATTATCTTTGCACATCCTTGTCGTCCTGTCAGCCACTTGAAGTTCGCAAAGGAGCAGAAGGTGGTCAATGGCACAGTGGACAATGAGTACGAGGTCTACAAACTGCTCAAGCACTATCCCAGCTCCAAGTGAGTTTCACCTAATCTAAGCTTTCAGTGTATGACGATGTATGAATGTGTTCCTCGATGCCAGCCTAATATTGAGATTCAAGAGCGAGGCCAAGAAGGCGCTGTGTCCTTTGGGCGACAAATACGGATGCGACGCGGAGGCGGATGCCCCTGCTCTAATGCTCCTGGCCAAGGCCTTGGATCTGAAGGTGACCGGCACCAGTTTCCACGTGGGTTCCGGATGCAGCGAGCATGAGGCCTACGATCGGGCCCTCGAGAAGGCCGAGAACATCTTCAAGGTCGGAGAACTGATTGGACATGACATGGACTTGTTGGATATTGGCGGCGGCTTCCCCGGAAACGATGATGCGATGTTCGAGAAGGTGGGATTTTAGAAACCACTCTGATCTTATGGCAATGAAATAAAAACTCCATTGCAGATAGCCGAGAATGTGAACACTGCGGTGAAGCTCCGTTTCCCCGATGAGCGTATCCGAATAATTTCGGAACCAGGCCGTTTTTTTGTGGAGGCTGCTTACACATTGGTCTGTAAAATCCATGCAAAAAGGGAAATCCGAAACAAAGACGGGAAGCTTGACACATTGATGTACTACCTCAATGATGGCATCTTCGGAGCCTTCGCCGGCAGTTTTTACTACCCTGAGGTGCTGACTCCTGAACTTTACCTGGTAAGATAAGAAATTAATCTTTAGTGAATTAAGCGCATTTTTGATAACGTTGCAGAGAAGGAGGCGTCTCCGACCCTATAAATATATATATACATATATATACCATATATATATAGAAGAGTCGATCTAGCCATGCCTGTCTGTCATTTCGTCCGTCTGTCCTAACTAATCTTTCAGTTTTTAAGCTATTTGCATTAAACTTTCCAATGAGTTTTCTTTCTATTCTAGGTTTGGGTTATCGGCTGTCCGCGTAACCTAGGGGTTTGAACGTCTGTCCAGAAATCTAAGCACCGCAAGTTAAATTTGAACTGCCGTCAGACAATACATTTTTATTTTCTATACAATTGAAGGAGACGTTTCCCAACCTATAAAGTATATAATATATGCTTGATCAGCATCACCAGAAGAGTCGATCCAGCCATGTCCGTCTGTCCGTCCGTCTGTTTCGACGCAAACTATTCCCTCATTTTTAAAGCTATCTGCTTGAAACTTTCCCAAAAGCTGTCTTTCTATAGCTCCCATAGAAACATTCGGAAAGAAGAGAAAATAAAATTAAAACTTCGTTGTTTATTAACATATACCCGTAAGCTGCGAGATATAGTATTTTTTAATGATTTTAGAAATCGATTTTAGTTTTATAAAAATCGGACGACTATATCATATAGCTGCCAAAGAAACGATCGAAAAAAGATTTTGAAAATAGAAATATAATCGTTTTGGAGAATATTTTATTTTTGCAATAGTTGTAAGGGTATATAAACATCGAGAACTGTGTGTACGACTGTCAGTATCAGGCTTATAATCCAGTCGTTTCTTTATATGTGTGAATATAGTATGCAAAGTGTCCACGGTATAAGCGATTGCTGTAGGGTTGTTCGCTTGCTTTGGGTAGCGTCCGCTTTCCGCACAGTGTCCCTTCAGTGCTGGCTTTGGATGTTTGTATATTGTCGGCTGATTAACTCAGATTGATGTTGTGATATCTTTGCAGGGGATTTTATAAATTACATTTTTTTGACAAGTACTTTTGGTTATGAATTAATCTATTTTGTTTTATTAAATATGTTTCTCATGTGTTTCTCTACATTTAATTTAATTTATTTTGAACAAATCTGGTGTGAACTTTCTAGGATGGCGCGGAAACCTTGCCAAAGTTCAAGTCTGTAATTTGGGGGCCCAGCTGCGATGCCCTTGATAAGGTAAGTAAACAACTACACTTGCTCCAGTCAATCAATATCATTTAATGTTTTTCTTACCCTTCAGATTGGGGAAGAACGGTTGCTGCCCAACCTGAACAGAGGCGATCTTTTAGGATTCCGCAACATGGGAGCCTATACAATGCCCATTGCCAGTCCCTTCAATGGATTTGACGTACCTGAGACCCGGTTCTTTCTGGCGAAGTGACTTAGCCAAATTTTGATAAAGAAAACACTTGCTTAAACTAGTGGCCATGGGGGCCATTATTTAATTAAGTTTCCAAGTAAAGAGCGAAATGCAACTTTTAAAAGCTGTATTTAAAATTTAATTTGGAAAATAAATATAAATTAGTGTTTTTCCACGTTTTACTTGTTGCACACATGTAGAATAATTATTTTTGACTATATATTTTATCCAGTTGCGCTTGAGTGTTTCAGTGCGAAAATACATACTTTAGAGCCAAAAGAGATAATATAATAATTTAAATGACAAATAATAGGTAAATGTTTAAACCTATACAATACCTGTTTACCCTTAAAATATTGTTCATCTGCAAATGGTTCATGTTGTGCAAATAACGATCTAAAGGCACGGAAAGCCTCCAAGAAGGTGAGAAATTTATTATCGAATATATAGCTTGTTGAAATATGCCAAAAACGTCCATTTTCACACTTTTAGGTTAGAATATCTTAAAATCTGTGGGTGCTGGTGAAATTTTGGCACCGGATTCAGCGCAAAAAATTTCATAAGAAAAAGTGGGTCCAGTTTTTGGGTCCGGGATTTTCTAAAATTTTGTTGGCCTGTGTAATTAATCAATTTTGTTTTTATTAAAATTAATCTATATTTTTAATACAATTAGTTCAGGGATTCCAGTGATTTTTGGGAGGGCCTCCAATTGACGAAGACTGGTATTAGATTTTATATTTTCAATGCGCCTGTGTTTTATAGACTGTCGGGATGAATTTCTTCTGTGGATAGAATTCCACTTAAAGTAATGCCGTTTTTGATCCATTTTCTCCATATTTTGTTTAAGTTAACCTCTTCCTTGCAGTTTAAAACATTAAATATTATTGCTTTGGAAGCAGATTCCTGTGATTCGTATACTATTTAATGTTCCTGTCACTAACACATATTTGTGTTTCAGATCAAAATGTGTCATTTTTGTGTTATGCACTCTTTCGAACAAGATGTATGAGTGTATGTTCTTGTGGCGACCATAAGTCAATAGGATGCTTATCTATTACCCTTAACTGAATATTGGGAGCCATCGGTTAAAAAGGTAATGTTCTATCTTTTAGATTAAACTTATTGTCAGTCAAATCATATATGTATCTGTATGTCTTTTAAGTATTTATACCCGTTACTCGTAGAGTAAAAGGGTATATTGTATTCGTGCAAAAGTATGTAACAGCTAGAAGGAAGCGTTTCCGACCCTATAAAGTATATATATTCTAGCCGAGTCGATATAGCCATGTCCGTCTGTCCGTCTGTCCGTCTGTCTGTCTGTCCGTATGAACGCTGAGATCTCGGAAACTATAAAAGCTACAAGATTGGCATTTTGCATGCAGATTCTAGGAGTTCCTACGCAGCGCAAGTTTGTTTCAAAAAGGTGCCACGCCCCCTTTAACGCCCACAATCGCTTATATACGATTTTAAAATTTTAAATATTTCGGAAAAGTAAAAATGCAGTTTTATTGTGTTTATCAATACCTATCGAAATGTTGAAGAAATTTTTCAAATCGGACCATTCGTTAAAAAGTTATGCGTGATCAAAGTTTCTATCTCCATCTCCCTCGCACTCCCTTTACCTGAGTAACGGGTATCTGATAGTCGGGGCACCCGACTATAGCGTTCTCTCTTGTTTTACATACAGACGTTTAAAACACATTAATTGGAAAAACAACAGAAATGACGATAGTTTAGTTATTTTTGCAACTACTAAGACTAATTTACACTACTAATGGTCTGTCATCTTCCGGGAAATTTTGAAAACGTTCGTTAGGGTACATTTATTTTGAAATTGGCTAACAGAATAAAGAATCTTGATAACCTAGGCACTCGACCATAGTGTCGATTCATTCAAATGTAACCAACATTATTTCCCATGCCAAATATTATTGTTTGCCTGCTTATTTGCCCTCACCTTGTGAAAAATTTGTATTATCATTTCAGGTAAATCATTTAATAGGCTGCTCACGAATTACACAAGCTTACAAAAAGATTAAAAAACAAGAAAGGAAAGCTAACTTCGGGCGGAGCCGAAGTTGATATACCCTTGCAGAATACTCTATAATTATATTCTCCAAAATTATTCCTATGATGCATTCTTAATACTCATAAAAAATCCAAACTTCCTAACTTTAAAAACACCAAAGTTATGGCATTTCGAATCGTTCAGTTATATGGCAGCTATAGGATATAGTCGGCCGATCCTTATGAAATTTGGTAGGTCGGATTGATTGGCCAAATATAAAACCTGTAGAAAATCTTAACTTTCTAACTTTACAAACACCAAAGTTATGGCATTTCAATCGTTCAGTTATATGGCAGCTATAGGATATAGTCGGCCGATCCTTATGAAATTTCGTAGGTCGGATTGATTGGCCAAATATAAAACCCATAGAAAATCCCAACTTTCTAACTTAACAAACACCAAAGTTATGGCATTTCCGATCAATCAGTTATATGGCAGCTATAGGATATAGTCGGCCGATCCTTATGAAATTTAATAGGTCGGATTGATTGGCCAAAAATAAATCCCATAGAAAATCCCAACTTCCTAACTTTACAAACATCAAAGTTATTGCATTTCCGATCAATCAGTTATATGGCAGCTATAGGATATAGTCGGCCGATCCCGGCCGTTCCGACATATATACTGCGTGCAAAGGAAAGAAGGGTGTGTGCAAAGATTCAATTTTATATTTTTAAAACTGAGAGACTAGTTTGCGTAGAAACAGACAGACGGACATGCTTATATCAACTCAGGGCGCGACCCTGTAAATCAATGAAATTGTTTAGTTTAGGAAAATGATGATCTTAAGGCTGTTAACAGCTTTTAAAAGATTAAGTGCCCTTTTCTTATATTACCGGATTTTCAGAGCCTGACATTAATATCTTGCAGGCTTTGTTAAAGTTTCTTTTTTTAAAAAGATGCGATAAGATTAATTTCGGTTCGGTGCTCTTGAATAAACAAACTTTCGTTTCTTTGTGTAAATTAGATTTAATTTTGTAAGCTAGTGCTAAAATACTTTTTTTACATATCAGTATGAATCATTTAGTTTGACAAATAAGTATTGAAAAATTGAGTGATTAGAAATATATGTAGGATTTTATGGGACAAGATCATCACCGATCGGTCAGTTGCGAACTGAGCGATATGGCAAACGGTGTCCCACAAATCCAGTACTACGAGCACGAGCTCGACATCCGCCGGGTGATCGAGCAGTCCGACTTGCAGAGTTTGGACCGGGCCCTCAACATATGTGATCTGTCCAGTTTGGAGCGAAAACTACGCCTCTGGCACAAGCTGCTGCCCAGGATCAAACCCCATTACGCCGTCAAGTGCAATGACGATCCGGTGGTGGTCAAGTTTATGGCAGATCTTGGAACTGGGTTCGATTGCGCCTCCAAAAACGAACTTAAAATGGTGGGTTTTTTTGTAATTTGGTTATCTTTTAAATGTAACTTAAAGAGATAAAGGTATAAAGAACAAGGGAAAATGCTGTAGTCGAGTGCTCTATTATAAGATACCCGTTTAAAACGTATTCTGCCCTAAAACTGGCGGTAAAGTGGGTGCGGCCAAATTTGTAAATAAACTTGCGCTGACTAGGAATAACTTTAATGCTAATTTCAAAATCTATATATGAAATCAAATCGCTTACATGAGCTCTACGTTCATACCAGCGGGCAGATAATTTATTTAATAATGACAATAATAACTTAATTTCCATGGTATAGATAAGCACATAAATATCCGCGATTGTTTTTCAAACATGAGCGCACACTATAATCATTACATAATTAACAAAAAATAATATTTAAAACTCCTGTGCTTTTTCAGGTGCTTGGATTCGGCGTTTCTCCTGAGCGTATTATCTTTGCACATCCTTGTCGTCCTGTCAGCCACTTGAAGTTCGCAAAGGAGCAGAAGGTGGTCAATGGCACAGTGGACAATGAGTACGAGGTCTACAAACTGCTCAAGCACTATCCCAGCTCCAAGTGAGTTTCACCTAATCTAAGCTTTCAGTGTATGAAGATGTATGAATGTGTTCCTCGATGCCAGCCTAATATTGAGATTCAAGAGCGAGGCCAAGAAGGCGCTTTGTCCTTTGGGCGACAAATACGGATGCGACGCGGAGGCGGATGCCCCTGCTCTAATGCTCCTGGCCAAGGCCTTGGATCTGAAGGTGACCGGCACCAGTTTCCACGTGGGTTCCGGATGCAGCGAGCATGAGGCCTACGATCGGGCCCTCGAGAAGGCCGAGAACATCTTCAAGGTCGGAGAACTGATTGGACATGACATGGACTTGTTGGATATTGGCGGCGGCTTCCCCGGAAACGATGATGCGATGTTCGAGAAGGTGGGATTTTAGAAACCACTCTGATCTTATGGCAATGAAAAAACTCCCTTACAGATAGCCGAGAATGTCAACACTGCGGTGGAGCTCCGTTTCCCCGATGAGCGTATCCGAATAATTTCGGAACCAGGCCGTTTTTTTATGGCAGCCGCTTGCACATTGGTCTGTAAAATCCATGCAAAAAGGGAGATTCGCAACAAAGCTGGGAGGATTGACACATTGATGTACTACATTAATGATGGCATCTATGGATTCCTCGCAAGCACTTTCTACTTTCCTGTAGTGGTGACCCCTGAAACTTACCTGGTAAGATTAAGAACTAGTCCCCAAAAAAGATTTAAGCTCTGAAGAAATTTAATGAATTATCCAGGATGAAGACGAACCCTTGCCGAAGTTCAAGTCTGTGATTTGGGGACCCAGTTGCGATGGCCAGGATAGGGTTAGCTTGTCATTTGATCCAACCAACATCAGTTAATGTTTCCCTTTAGATTTCGGAAGAGCTGTTCCTGCCCAACTTGAACCGAGGCGACCTCATAGGGTTTCGCAACGTGGGAGCCTACACAAAGCCCCTGGCCAAGCCCTTCAATGGATTCGATGTGCCTGAGACCCGGTTCTTTCGAGCAAAGTCATTATAAAGGAAACACTTGCTTGCATTTGTAACCAACATGGATTCTTTATTAGTTAGATTCTCAGAGTGTTCCCGTGGGGGAACTGTTGCTCACATGGAGAGCATTGCGATAGCCCAGCTTTCGATGGGGTTTATTGGTAGCAATATTTTGAAAAGAATACCTCTAGCCAAAGGAAACTGACCCGAATCGGTGGTGCGGCGCATTCTCTTGAAAATATTTCCGGTACCGCAACCCCAGCCGCTCCCGTCGCACCACCGCCCACAAGTGGGTGGCTACTGACCAAGCCGCCGGTGGGTGGGCGGTGGTAAGGGGATCGGGATTGGGATCGGGATCGGGATCGGGTGCGGGTGCGGCCGGATCGGGGTGTCGGTGTTAATTGCTAATCGAATTACAACTTAGTTTGCATAGACATAATTGAAAAGGTACGTATGTATGTGTGTATAAAAGTATATGTATAAAAAATTTCAAAAATTCCACTCTGCATATACATTTGCTTAATTCACTTCTTGCATAAATATCAAACTTGTCAGATGCCTCAAAAATGTAAGTAAATTCTATAAAATGTCACTATCTTAGCAGTGTCGAGCCATCCGAGTGTTTTACTACTGGGAGCTCTTGATATGTCACGATATGATAACAATATAACGATATGCATTCTCGATTTCAACGAGGGTTTCTCATTAGGTTGGGGTTTAGGTAATTGGGTAATTGGGATTGGGAGTACTTGCCCCTTGCTCTTGGCAAATAAAGAGTACAAACTACTTATTCCATAATCAGTTCTTGGTGATTGATGCAAATGAATTTTCTTATTTTCTCTTGTGCTTTCCCTCAGTTTCGCCTTGCCTCTGGCACCCAAAGTGGAGCCACAAATGGGTGTAGTTACTAGAACTAGAATGGGATTACACCTGGTACGTACATACATACATATACTCGACTTTCGAATTCGACTAGGTTGGATTCTGTGGGGTTGGTTGGGTGCAGAAGGAAGGACTGGAAACGGGTGAGGGGCTACGAAACGCGTTAGTAATGATTGTATCTCACAACACCGACGACAAGACGACGATAGACTACACATAATAAATGGGTATCCTTATCCTGCACAACACACATTGTGCGGATTAACGCGTTTAACAACGAAATCCCTCGCTTAAACGTAACAATATTCTGATATGCTGAGTTTCGCTTTGGTTTACCTCTGCAGGTGCACTGGTGCCTAAATCGAGGTGCCTTACATCTAAGCTATGTCCGTTAACAATTAAATATCTCGCCTCCTGCTGACCCATCTCAATCAGCATGCCCCTTCGAGTCGAGCTACTGTGCAAGTCGGGGTGGACTGGAGTGGAGTGGATTGGATGATGTTGGATGGTGTTGCCGCTGCAGGTGCGTCAATTCAACAAGGTGGACTGGCCGGCCGGCTGGCTGGTTGATTGGTTGGTTCAAAAAGCGTGCTTTCTGAGTCTAATTATTGGCAGAGTTGCATAATTCACGGATTCTCTATAATCTATAAGAAAACATACAATACAACAACACAGAAATGGTTTGTAGACGTACGAAAGGTCTGTGATTTTGGGTCTGTGCTTAGTTTTTGCTTTCGCTTCTTTGGGGACTTTATGTTATTGTAAGCCGAATCGAACCGAATGAAACTGGTGGGGAGCGGGTCGACCGCACTACTTTCTATCACTGATCACTGATCCGAGTCTGGGGCTGGGGCTGGGTCTGGGGGGTGGAACTGAAACTGAAGCTGAAACTGACCCACATAGAACATCGCGTCTAGCTGGACAGATGCGGCTTTAGACGCTAGTCAGAAAGGCCACGCTACACACGGCAATCTGGGCCAGGATGTTCACTTGCAGGATCCGCATCAGACCGCCGCTGGTGGGCGAGGGACTCACATTGAGGCCGGCGCAGTGCATCTTCTCGGTGGGCATGGCCTGCACGAAGTACTCGCGGTTGTCCAGCGACATGTGGCACAGCGGCTTCTTCTTCTGCGACATTTCGTCGTCCTTGTTCTTCAGGTCCTCGAGCAGCTTGGGGAACCAGGTCAGCTCGCAGGAGCAGTTCAGCGGGTTATCTGCAGTGGGGAGTTCGGTTTGGTTTAGTTGGGTATAGCTTTTGACTGGCTTCGAGTGCCCATGACTTGCCGGTGATATCGATGATGCGGAGGGTGTCGATGACCGGCTCCATTATGTCCTGCGGAATGCGCTGCAGCTTGTTGTTCTGCAGGTTCAGCGTCTCCAGCGAGTTGAGATTCTCGAACAGCAGGCTAGGGAGAACCTTGATGCTAAACAATGCGAAACAGAATAATGAAGTATGAATAAATATTTTATATCATGTAAGGGAAACATAATGGTAAATAATAATAATAAAATCACAGGAAACTGAAGACTCTTGAAAACAATTTTTTGAAAGGAAAATAACTAATTTGTTCCAAATCATCTTTTTAAAAGAGTTCTTTAACTTATCTATTTCGGTATTAATATTTTCATTAAGCAAATAAATAGTTAGTTAATGTAAAATCTTACTCATTCTTTTGCAGGTTGATAAAAGTAAGGGAATCTCCGAATCCAGTGAAGGCATCTTCGGCCAGGACATTGATGTTGTTATTGCGCAAGTCCAAGTGGCGCAGGCGATGCAATGGACGCAGTGCCTCGCTGGGAATCGTATGGACTTGGTTGTCGCCCAGGCGCAGATATTGCAGGTTCTCTGTGGAGCCAGAGGGTTAATTAAATATATACCAGAAAGAGCGGGCGGACAACCCACCCTCCAGGCCCTTGAAGGCATCCTTGTCAATCGAACTGATCTTATTGCCCTCCAGCTCCAAGGAGTTCAGCTGGATGAGGTGGGAAAAGACGTTGGCAGGCACGGTGGTGATCATGTTGTGGGCCAATATCAACGAGTCCAAGCTCTGCAAGCCTGCCGAAAATCAAAACAGTGGATAGATGGCCAACTCTGTGGGACTTTTCAATAATCACCTTCGAAATCGCCTTCGCTGATAGTGCGAATCTTGTTCTCCTGGATCTCCAGTTTCTTCAGAGTGGGCAGAATGGAAAGAGCTTTCTGTGGGACACTGGTCAGATCGTTGCCGCCCAGATTTAGACGCTTGAGTTTGCTGAAATTGGAGGTGTTTGTTTAAAACAGGGGTTGTCAATTGATGGATTCTGGGGCATACTCCTCGAGTCCTCGGAAAGCCTCGGGGTCGATCTGTGTGATCTTGTTCTCGTAGAGCGTCAGAATCTCCAGGGTATCCAGGCCCTCGAAGGCATTGTTGTGGATCACGGTGATTTTGTTGTGGTTCAGATTGAGGATCAACAGGTGGACCAGGTGCTGCAGTGCCTGCGAGGGCACTATCTTCATTTGGTTGAGGGACACATCCAGCTGGGTGAGTCCAGTGCCTAAGGGAAATGGATATAAGAGCTGTTAGACAACCGAACTCAAACTGGAGGGCATCTAGTTACCCAGTGAACTGAGCGCGTTCTCCTCGATGGCCGCCAGGCTGCTGTTGTGAATGGTCAGGTGGCGGATGTCCAGGGCCAGAAAGACGAAGCCCTGCAGCTTGGGCAGGTTGTTGTGGCGCAGCTTCAGGTAGAAGATGATCGGGCTCTTGCCCTTCAGCGTGCCCATCGACTTGGTGATGTGCGCCAGATCGGTGGTCTCGCACAGGATGTCCAGCCCGTTCTTCTTCACGGTGCAGATGCAGGGTGCGATCTCGCTCTGCTCCGGGCACACCTGGGTCTGCGGTGGCCCCTGGCCCAGTGCCTGGCCCATCATCATCGTCAGCACCTGCAGCAGCAGCACCACCGCCGCCGTGTGTCCCAATTCCAGATGAACTCGCGCCATGCTGAACACCTTGCTGCTGGTGGATTGCGATTCCCTTTGGGGCTGTGGAGTCGAGTCGAGTGGCGTGGAGTGGAGTGGACTGGAGTGGAGTGGAGTGCGGGGTGTTCCGCGCTATTTGCAAAGAGTGTAGCTCGGGTTGCGATCTCTGGTGCTGATGAATGCTATCTACAATGGCTTTTGCTATTGCCGTAGCCCTGTGTGCGAAAGGAGGAGTGGTTAGGGGGTTTCAATTGGGCGCACAATGCGCGATTTTATTTGGGTTGTGTGTGCCAGCCCGCGGATTAAATATAAATTGCCCGCAATTGAGCTGTCCGTCCGGCTACGGTTGCTTCTACTGCTGCTACTGCTGCTCCTCTTGAGTCTCCGGCTCGCTCACCTAAATGGTTTGTCCGTCCGCGGCTGGCGAGTGCCAAATGAAACATGCCTCCAGTGCCTTCGGGATGCAACAAATCCAAGCCTGCCTCTCTCAGTTTTCGTTTTGGTGTTGGTTTTGTGGGGCAGCTGGCAGCTGGAGTCGAACAGCCGCACACGCTCTCTCTTTGGGGGTGGCTATGGGGCGTATGCGTAATGGCTGTGGGCCAACTGGGTTAGTGTGTGTGTATAACGATGTAACGGAAAATCGATACGGCGACGTCGAGAGGTTGTTGAATGGGCCCCGTTTGTTTGTATTTGTGGTTGTTGCTTCGCCTCCAACTTATTCAACAGTCCTGCTCCTTGGGTCGCTTCCCAGTATCGATGTGCTGGCACTTCCACTTTAACCCAGTGCCTTTCCACTGAATTCCGTTGCATCCACAAAAAAGGCGAGCCAGGATCCGTCTAGTGGTACTGTCGCTGTGCCAGGCTCTTCTTAGCCCTCTGATAGGTAAATCAATCCCGTTGCATTCTCTGCGGAATCCCACTGGCAAGCCCCCCGAATCCTGAATCCAGAATCCAGAATCGGAAAATGTTGAAAACGGTGCGAAGCGTCAGTTGATGGAAAATGAAGCACGTTTGGTTGGCAAAACCGACGATTGCGGACTGAGGGCACTCGGCGTGAAATTGAATATAGCACTTCAGTTGACTCTCGGGGTGGCTTAAGCTTTTCGAAGCTCTGCGAAAGCTGCAGCGAGCGCTCAAAACAATCGTTAGTTGCTCCTTTCCATCTAAGGTTATCAGATAAGTTATCAGTCGTCAGGAAATGCTATAAAATAAGATCACCCTGATCACCAATAAATTAATATTAAATGAATAAATGTTACCATAGAAAATACATTCGAATTTCCCTCTCAAAGTCAAACTAATAACACCCAGAAAAAAATTAGCGCAAAAATCTAAGACTAAATTTCTTCCTTTATCACCGTTACGTTCTTACTTTGTTCTAAGACCATTTTCTTAAATTGATACCATATGGTGTGGAATAAGAACATTCGACCTTTTGTGTAGGTAAAATTTCCGTTTGGTTCTAATTCTCATACCATTTGTTCATAAATGAAAACAGTAGAACCCATGGAACATTGTCCATTCTAATTGACATACCATTAGTTCATAAATGATGAGCCCTACCCATTTGTGTACAAGATATTACTGTTTGGTTGTAATAACTTTTTGTTTTTTAATCAAAGAAATATTTTTTCCATATGAAAATTATACATAAAGAGCACGCGATAAATATACATCTATTTGTAAATACATAATGCTGTTTTGTTACAGTGTTAATTTAGTTAAATCAAATGTCATGATCTAAGCCATTCGTTTTCAACCATTTTTTATTGGCGCAGTGCAATTATTTTATTCCAAGACAATATATGTTAAACTTACATTTTTTGCAATAAGCGTTGTTTAAAAAATGTATTATATATATTCAAACTTTATTATTTAGCAAACTGTTTGTTTTTAGAGATAAGACACCGACCTATTATGAGGTCGCAACTTTTCTGACGATCAGGTCACGACCTTCAACTTTTAAAAATTTAGTTATTTCTTAAGAATATAAAAGTTTTGAGAGAAATTTCGGTTTCTATTGAGTTGAATTTTATTACTCTTGGATATAAGTGCGTTCTCTCTTATATACAAGCCATCTCGCTTTTACTCATAAGCAATTATAAATACCGCAAGGGAAGACAAATAATAAATAGTTATTTCTTGGGAATTAGTTGAACTTAATTAATTTAATTTAATTTATAAATTCTCTAACTCGAAGTCCCTGTAACTTTTTTTTTTGGCAGAGTTTGGTGAAGCCGCCTTAGCGTCAAAATTGATAATGCTGATTAACAATTTAAATGCCTGATTGTGAACGCTTCTTTTAAATTTATATAATTCCTTGAGTAAGTCTAGGGGTCTTACCCGTGAAGGAAAGAGAGGGGGCTTAACAACCAAAATGCAAATCTGTTCCCTGGAAGTAGAATCCGAATGTTATTAGGAAATTACTACCGTTACTTGGGGACTTAAAAGTAACGTCTACAATGGTCAGCGCCTCTATGAGAATTTTTAAGGACTGCGCATATTAGACCGTGGGGACACCTGGCGGAGGAATATTTAGGCCGTACATTGCTATAAACTGATTCGTAAACTGCTTTAAACAGGGCTGTTGTGCAGCAGTTATGAATGCTGTTAAATAGCTCTTGTGCTTCTGTTATTACTACTGTTATGTTTTCTGTTATGTGGCGACACCTGGCGGAGGAATATTTAAGCCGTACATTAATATAAACTGCTTCGTAACACTGCTTTAAACAGGGCTGTTGTGCATGCTGTTATGAATGCTGTTAAGATAGCTCTTGTGCTTCTGTTATTACTACTGTTAAGACTGCTGTTATGCTTTCTGTTATGGGAACTGCTGTGATTTTGTTAAACTTCTGTAGTGATTTCGTTATGACTTTTGTTGTACGTTAAGACTGCTGTTACTATTTCTGTTATGACTACTTCACGAACTGCTTGGTCATAGTTAAAAAATAAAAAGTTAGAATTTTTATTGAATTACGGAAATTTTATTATATTAAACTCTATAACAATCAACCTTAACCTTGAGTCGTTATAATAAAACTGAATGTGATTCACATTTGATAGAAGTTAAAGATATTTTAAGACTTATATAAAATATAAACAAATTTAATTAATAAAGTTTGGAAGTCCATTTTTATGAGATTTTTAAAACGGGTAAATTTTACTTGATGGTTTTTAAAAACATTTCATTAAATACAATTTTTTTAATCTATTTTTAAAAATACATGTATTGAGCACTGGTATATCTTTCATTAGAAACAATTGTAAAATCATCAGCAATCTAGTGGTCCACAACCAATCGAACTGTGTATCACTCACTACTCTTACTTTAACCATGTGAATGGGTCATGTTATTGAACCCAACTTTCACTGCGTCAGCTGACTGCTCCAGCAGCACATCCTTTGATGACAATCCTGATCGGGTTACAGCAGCACGTGGGCGTAATTTTCTCGCAATTAGGATGCGATTATCATAATATGAGCGAGCGTCGTCGAAAGGGTAATTGAAGAAGAGCCGCTCAACCCATTCCCCACTGCATTTGGGATCCTTTTCGCCTGCCACACGGCCACGTGCCCGCAAGACGCCTTCAGCCAAGGTACGAACTTTCAATTTGATATTCCCTTGGCCCGGCGAGCATCTTGGGGTTGTTCGGGCCAGGCCCTGGATTAAGTTCGAGGCGGGCCAGGAGCGATTGCGATTGCGACTCCGTGGCCTTGGCCCTGTGGCTTATGACGCTGACAAGAGGCTGTGCGGGTGGCAGCCGCATCAGCATAAGGTCGGACTTGAGTTTGACAAAGTGCAAAATCCTTTACACTTTGAAGACTGATTGACTTCTTATCCTTGAATGGATTTGAATGGAAATTGTGTTTCACTTTCCTGCGCGGCTAATGGTGGGGAGGGGTGGGGTGTCCCGTGCCGAGCTGTGCGACTGTAAGAGTGTGAGTCCTATATAAACAAACGGAAGATAATCAAGATGTAAAACATAAACCAGAGGGGGACGGCTGTAATTCAAAACCAAACAAAACCGTTGAAGAATCAAAAGGCAAAGCGATGGCAAATTACAACGTTACAGTTGCAGTTGCCTCACAAAAATCGGAGGGGGGTGGGTGTTGGGGTGGCGTTGGGAAAGCGTCGCTGAAAAATTGTAAAGCGGAATTTCGCAATTTCACTTTGTACTTGGAAAACTGTTATTAACTTAATGAAGGAGTGTTGTGCGCCACATTTACCTGACACGTGATTCGGAGTGAACCGGAAGCCGAGGTCCCACAAAGGAGCTGGGGCCGTTCACGTTTTCTTATTTACTCGTTTTTTTCGGTATTTCCTTCAATTGAAAGTGCGTTAAGTACTGAGCTGGGAAAGCGTGTTCAACGTGTTGTAAATGGTGTCAAATCGTATACGTTATTGCATTTCTTATTCATTCTTAGATTTTGTTTAATGTCGCCTATCTACAAAATAATTTTTTGAACATATCATAAATTTTAAATAAATTTACTTAAACATAAGTAATCATATATACAAGTTGTTAACTTGGAGTTTTAATTGGGATTTTTAATTATGGAACAAATGGCATTTACACTATATTAACTAGCACTATTGATAATAAGTCCCATTTCACTCAATACTTTGAAATGGTTACAAAACAGCTAATTAATTTTTCATTAAATGGAGTCATTTTAATAGCACCTGATCCATGTATTCAGAGATAAATAGTAGCAACTGAAACAAGGCCTTTATAAGTAGATGCCTAATTGGGTTATACGAGTATCTATTCGACAAACTTTGGGCTGGCTTCCTGCGGATTTAACATCAGCTAACAAACCGAATCCGTCGGCAGCTGTAATTAAAACAAAGAGTGCGATGAGCACACAGAATCCCCCGCTCATCCCCTCCGGAACCCACACATGTGCAGCGGAGGAGCGTTGGAAACCCTCTATAGTATACCATATATATATGGCTATAGCCATGTAACCGTATCTTTGCATTGGCGCTCAGATGAAGCTCATCTGGCAAAGTGGCAGGTTAAGTAAACAGTTTCATTGTGCGAATTCAATTAAAATTTATTCAAAATACGTCAACGGCAGCTACTCAAAGCTGCTACTTCTGCCGCGTTTCGCTGCTGCTGCGCTGTTGCGTTGCTGCAACAAAGTGCCAAAGTATCTGTGAGATACATTCTATGTACCTCTCTCTCCCTGTCTCCCTCACCCCCGTGCGTCTGCCATTGGCAAAGGGGGCGTGGCAAGGCCTCGTCCCCGCCCCAGTTGAAGTGGAAGAGGGACAACCATATGACGGCGGGCCATAGTAACCGTATATAATACGCTCACAAAGTATCTGTGTGAACAGCGGCTGGGAGTGTGTGTGTGCGTTGTATGCCACTTGTTTCGTTGCTTTTCCTTTTCCCCACAGCTGGAACTGCTGTCTTGGCAAGTGGTGTAAATGGCAATTTGTCGGGCGTCGACGGTCGACGGTCGCCCCCGCACACGGTAGCCGTAGATACAGCGTCGCGCTGACAGCCGCTCTTTCCCGCTGGCATTGGCATTCGGCTTTTGGCCTGGCCCGCTCATTTCTGCCGTATCATCGCCGTCATCATCGCCACGATCATCATACGACCCTACCCTCGCCTCCCGCGTCATCGCCGCACTCAAAAGTATCTTATTATCCCTTTGTGCGAGGTAACACTGGTGCCAACACCACCTACCTGTGCTCTGTCAACCCATTTGGAGACCAAGCCCATCATCCTTGCAATGAAATACATTTTCATTTTTGAATACCCTGCCGCATAATTTCATTTAACCAGCTACGTTAGGACTGACAAAATATTTATTTAAAGCTATTTTTAATTTAATTAATCTTTCATTAAAAAAAATTATCTAAAGTTCATCTGCACAATTTTAAGACATTGAATATTTTATTTGAGATTGAGTTCTTAAGAATATAATAACAAAAGCAAAATATTTCCTTGAAAGTCGAAACATTAATCTTTTAGTAATTTAAAGCATATTTATTTTGCAAAATAAGTTGATAAAATATTCT